CCTGTAACTGTGTTTAGGTGAAAGGAGCTGTAATGTTTCACGATTGATGTGTTGGCTTTTCTGTAAGCTACATAGCATATCTTCGATCATTTTAACAGACTGAATCTACCTTTTTATAGTGGTTTGTGTCATTAAGTTATCGGTACGCTTCGTTGAAGTAGTCGGACTTATCTTGAATTGAGATAGATGTGGGTAATCAAATTGAAATATTCAAAATCTTAAAGAGAATTGATAATACTAATATTTTAGAAAATATATAGAAAAGATAACTATCAATTTCTTTCAATTTCAACGGAACTCTGTATATAGAAATTTTCAGTTATTTATTATCTTCAAATCCGTTATCATAGATGACGCGTCGATAGTCTTAGATACCATTAGTCGGAAAAGAGTTTGTTTACATGTTATGAATTCTTCAAGGAAGATTGGCGTTATTGTTATACCTAAATTCCCATACCCGTCGTTAGAGTTATAGTTTTATACTTGTTATTACTATACTTTGTTGGCAATACTTAAAAAGTTACATGATTTTGGGAAAATGTATGATGTATCATTTCAGTAGTAAGTTATGCCTGTCGTCAAGTGGGAAAAATATAGTAAGGTTTTACTTTTAGGCCTTAAATCTTCGACGTTAGATTAATATCGTAAAAATATAGTATTACTATTAGTAACCGTGAATGTAACAATCACGCTCTTACTCTTAGGCATAAGATTATGGTTTTTGACATATTTTAACTGGTTAGCCCTACCTAAGTGGTGGGTAATCCAACTAATTTGGATAAATTAAAGTAAGTTACTAAATAACAACGAGAAATGCATGCAGTTGCCACGTTAATGAACTTGAAGGTTAACGTATGTTATAATATAAAAATTATAATTGGTGGGCTTATAACAATACAACTTTACAAGTTGTAGTCAGCTTTATTTTTTAGATTTAACTACAGGTTGTAGAATTATAATGATATGAGTTAGCATAAAATTCAAACTAGGTTTTTAGTTTTTACATGATGCTATAATAGCAATGAGTGTACATTTGGATTTGGTGTCCTTTAAGGCTGTTCTTGCACACAAACCCTCCCTCCCACACATCCTTGGGAAAAGCAAAGATTAAAACATTGTTCATTCTTCATGATGTCATAGGTTCCCCCTCTTAAACTCCTGCAAAGTACTTGTCTCCACTAGTACCAGTGATAACTTATTCAATAAGTCCTCTCTTGCAAGTATGATATTATCACTGGAGTTATTGTCTTGCCTTCTGAATAAAACTTAAAAGGTGCATTTGACTTTCACTAAGGAATTATTGTTTACCACTCCATCTAGTGAACATGCCGAGTAAGGAAAGAAAGAATGTGATTGTGTGATCATAAAAAGAGCTTTAGGAGATGTGGTTAAGGTGTTCAAGATTATTATGAAAACTGAGAGTATTGATGAATAAGCTTTTTTGTATTTCATGGTGAGCATGGTAGGTCAAGAGGACGTAAACATTTTGACAGGTTAGGATCCATCCTCAGCTTAAACAACTTTTCTGACAGGGTGTTTGGCCTTTGGAATGGGTTGCCTTCAGATATTGTGGGTGTTGTAAATTTAAAGGAGTTAAACAGAAGGCTTGATAAGTATTTGAATAATCAGGCTTAGATTTGAGGGTTGATGTTTTTTATGTGAATGAGACAGCATTATTAGACCAACAATAAAAATAGTTGAAATACTCAAATTTAATCAATACTTTTCAGCATGATTTTAGAAGAGTTTTCAGGCCTTAACTTATTGAAGGTTTTCAACAGGACTTCCACATTTATGGACAAGGTTACCCCAAGTTCTTTTTATACATAATGTTTTACAAATGACTAATTATTAAGTTTGATGTGTATGAAATTTGTGGAAAAGTGTGGTAGCACTGAAATGATAAATGGGCATTTCAGAAATACTACTCACCTCTCTACAAAACTGATATCTATTACCCTGTGCCACTGCTGAAAAACATTTTGTGCATGCTTTAAGCCTTGAATGAAACTTACACCCTTGCATGTATTAACATGTGCTACACCTTCCTATGATTTAATCATAATTAGGCTATAATCCTCTACCAACAAGGTGTTCATGCATAGTAAGTCCCATGAGCATTCTCATTTCAGCAGAGGGTCATTCTTTTTCTTTGCATATCATTGTTCAGATAGGTTTTTCTTTAACCCATTCACTGGAGCTGTCGAACCTTTTTATTCCTTATGCTGTGGCTGTGCCGTGTATGTGACTTTATTGTTTTCATGAGGGGTACTGATGAGAAAAGACAAAAAAATGATTGACCCATTGTTTGGTAACAATGCTCGGGTGGATGGAGTGCCTCAACATTCATAGATATGCCTTACCAGTTCATGCAAGAAATTTAAAAATGAAATCTCATATATGGCACAGCCACAGTGTATGGGAGAAAAAAAAATCTCCATGGTAATTAAAACCAATGTCCAAGGCCTATATACCATGGATATATCTTTTTCTCTAAACTTCTTAATAATCCCCAGCAGCTTTATATCTCAGACCTTGATAATGTTATTCTGTGACATACAATTGTGATTCTTCTTTCTCCTCTGGTTTCAGTCCCTTGAATCTCTTCTTCCAGTTTGGGGATCTCCTCCTGAGAGATTTCTTCTTTGTATCTCTCTATTGCCCTCAGTCTGTTCACCTTAGCTATCTGTCTATTCTTGCAGAGGCTCTATATCATAACCCTTACAGCTTTATGGGGGAAATTTGCCATACCTGTTCTTTAAATTGAACTCAATTTTTTTTCTAGTGTGTCCCACTTAACATTGTTTTTATGATTAACTTCCTTGGGAAGCATGTTTTTTCTGAAGTTGTCTCCCTTAATCTTTTCTCAGTGGACCTCCATGTTGCACCCTTCCTTCAAGATGAGATTTATGGATGTGCTACTTATACTTTGAAATCTCTTCTCATTATTGTTTCCTGCATTTATCAAACCAGCAGGCCTCATCAACTTTCTCCTCCTTAAGAACCTCATGAGGTTGCCCCTTTCCTGCTCCTGGTCATCTTATTACTATATAATGCCCCCCCTCTTAAAGAACTATCACACATCCTGAAGGTTACTTGTTTCAAGAGCTGCTCTAGTCAAGTAGGAGCTTAGCCTTCCCATTTTATATGTCTGTAGACTAACTTTGCCAAAGACCATTGGATTAAACAGGTACTTTTTTGGGGACTTTCCCTGATTTTTCATTCTCAACTCCATTTTCCCCTTTGCCTGTTGTTTTTCCATCCCTCTTCAAATCCCTTGTGTCTTTGACATCTAGAGTAGGCTGTGTCCTCTCTTCAGGTTATAACACTGTTTTAACATGTTCTCAACCCAACTCCTAAGATTATGAGAAATTAGTGACCTCTTATAGATCTGTCATGCTTGAACAAATTTCACAGATCAAATTGTTTAGTATGGATGGTTTTCTCACCCTGAAGTGGATGTTCTCTCCTGGAATGTGAATGATCAAGAATAATGCCTGAGATGCTTTTCTTCACACCCTCACTTGTCCACCTGCCTATCACTTCCTTCAGTTTCTCCACAGTGGTAAAATATTTCAGACCCATATACTTTCTATCAGCTCCTAAGGGATTTTGCACACCTGTTCCACTACTCTATGAATGATTGGCTTCTAGTCCCTCATTGAGTTGTAACACTAAAATCTGGGGTTTGGTTCACATAGTGGACAGAGTGAAGATAACCTGTTGTGTAGCTTTATTCTAAAACCAAAACAAATGTTAATTTGGTTTGAAGCTCTAATGTCTCCTCCTCTTCCTGCACAAGAGATTCTGTCACTTTTAGGAACTCTCTTCTCTTGAGTCCCTTGTTTTCCTTGGATCCACCCATATGCATCCCCTTCAGTATATTGCAGCTGATCAATGGAGTATGTCCAGAGATCCATTGCCTTTTGTATATCTCCTTCCTTCTTTCCCCCTCTTGTTGTTATGGTGAGTATCCTTCCCCCACATTACCCAGACTTACATCTGTTCACTGATATAACCTTTCTGTCTGGATATGGTGCAATTCTTGACACCTGCACCATTTCTTGGGTCTGATCTCCAGAGGAGTAATATCTCCATATCAACATCCTTGAGATGTTGACTGCTCAACCAGCTTACCATCATCTTTTTATGTTCATTAGGTTATTTAGTCATGATCCATTCAGAACAACTCCACTGTTGTGTCTTAAATCAAACAATAGGGAGTAACTAATTCACAGGATATCTGTTTCCTTGCTCTTAGCTTTCTCTTTTGAGTTTTATATCGTCACATTCTGTTGTCAATCTGTCATGTCTGGGAGCCTTGACACTGGTGGCAGATCAATTATCTTGCCAAGACTAGATGTTTTCTATAGAGTGGTTTCTAGAGGATTTGCTCTAATTTTAGGTGTCTTATTTTAGATACCTTAGTGACTTCCCTCAACACCAAGCTTTCACATTTATGGTCTCCAGTCCCACACTCTACAGCTGGCTGTGAGTCAGGTTTTGTACAATCTCTCTATATATGCCTATCATCCTCTTTGATTTCTTTGAAATTCTACTAGCATCAGTTACAAAGCAAGATTTTCAATGGTCTTACATCTCTTCTCCAGCCATTTTTTATTTCTTTCCTTGATGTTTATGGATCTGTTGAGAGCCTTTCTCACTTCCTCTTCCTGCCTGAAACCTCTGTTTTGCTCTAAATGCTCTTACGCATCCCCTATTCAAGCCATTGACCACATTCTCCGTGTACCAGCTTTCTTTTCAGACATAATTTTTTCTTCTTCTTGTTTGTGGGAGATGCTTCTCTGACATTTTTGCCTTGGATGTTTCCTGTATTCTTTAACACAGGAACAGGCTAATTTTATTTTCTTACCTCTCCTTCCTCCTAAAACTTCCATCTCCTTCTTCCCTGTAAGATCACTCAGATTCTGATCATCTCCCTTGTCTGGTACTGGCATTTCTGTCTCTCTCATACTTCCACCTCTTTCGTTATTGCACTCCTCTTTCTTCTGGGACTTATCTCCTTCCACTTTGACCAGTTGAGTTAACAGCTCATGTGGCTAGTTTATTTTTCTATGGAGGATAGCAGTATTTATCTTTTTCATGTCTTCTCTCATCAAGTCTGTCATTCTGATGCAATATCGTACCTCCTCTCATAGAATAGCAAATATTTGCTTGCAACTAGTTTTGATACTCCCATCTACCCTCATGTGTTTTCACATGAGGCAGTTGTGTGATAGCATGCTGACTCCCTCTGTGAAGCTGAACCCAACCGCAGTTCTTGATTGGCACTTGTGGTGTTAAGATGTTTTTTTTGCACACACTTTTCTTTACAGAATTTCAATCAGTTCCTTGGGGGGGGGGGCTTTTTCTTTACATTTGATTCACTTTTGTTCTGAAATTTTAATTTTTACATGTGAGCATTTTGTGTCTTTTCTTCTAATTCGTGATTCTTTGGAGCTGCTGTTCCCACAACAGTTAACTTTGCTTTGAATATAGTGACTTTGGGTCCACAATTGTCAGTGGAAGTTGCTAGAGCTTTGGTTCACTGGGAACTGGCTACCTTTATGAGGGTTCCTGATTCACCTGATGATTA